GGAGTGAGGGCTTGGCAGAGGGATGCCATTGTCCAGACCTCTGAGCCTCTGCCTCCCTAATCAGCTTGCTGCTCCCTGGGGACACACGGAGAGATACTTGGTCTCTTTATGTCTCCAGGAGCGTGCCTGCCAACACCTCAGAATGAGCACCTCTGACCTGTCTCTAAGGAACCCAGAAGACAGAGCTGTGCCACTCCTGCAAATGACAAAAGGAATCGTCCTTACTGCTGCCAGAGCTGACCTATCCAGAGCTCGCCACGGGCCTGTGGTTTAGTGCTCCAACCTTCTGCCAGGGCCTGTCTCCAGGCACGTTTTACAGATGAGGAAACCGAGGCCCAGCTGCTGGGAAGAATCTGAGATCAGCACATGGCAGGTCTGAGTCAAGCCCCGTCTACAGCCCTCCCCTCGTCACTCATGCCAAACGCCCACTGTCCCCAGTCATGACAGCAACTTCTCAACCCATTCCAGATGAGCTGGTGGGGAACACACACCACCACTGCAGGCCCACAGTGAACAAAGCAGCGCACACGGGACCCCTGCTCCCTCCCAGCAGCTGCTCCCACAGATGGCTAGCAGGGCAGAGTCCTGAGGCCAAACTGCCTTCTTTCTGGACCAGGTAGATGGATAAAGGAGGGGCTGCTGGTCACCTGGGTCCCCATCCCCCCAGGCCATAGCCTCTGGAGTCCCTTAACTGGCCCCAGTCCCACCTTCCAGCAGTCTTACTCTAGAAGTTGACCCCAAAGGGGGGGGTGGTGGTGGTGAACAGGACCATGGACAACACCAACCAGCAGCCACAACAGGGGGCTTTAGAGCTGATGGTGGCAGGCCACCCCAGAGTGCCTCCCCAGGAGAGGCAGCAGGTCAGGTGAGTGACAGTGCAGAGGACCACACTTGAGCTTCTAAACTTGGAGACTGCCACTGTTAACATGGTTCAGAGCACTCTGTTGCATGATGACGAGGCCTTGGCCCCACATCAACCCCACTGACCCTCCCCTCTGTACCCTATCCCCATGTGACACCATGGCTCGGCCACTTCACTTTTCGAGGCTCATTTTTCACAGCTGAGAAAAGAAAAGCACTGTGGAGTCAGGAGGACTGCAGAAGAAGGCTCCTGACCTCACTCCTCTGGAACTGGGCAGGGCCAGTGACCTCTTCTCCCATCTCTTGCCTGATGGCAGAGGCCCAGGGGACACAGCTGCTTTTTACCAGATCCAAAGAGTCAGCTTCTGTGGCTAGAGCAGCCCTGGTCCATGGTTCCAAAAGCTGCCCAGAATAAGCTGCCCACAGATTAAACTGCCCCTGTGCAAAGCCAGGGCCAGCAGCCCTGCAGCCTCAGCCAGCAAGCTCTGGCACGGGCCTAGTGGGGGGAAGCCTTGTCCGTCCCCACCTGGGCCTTCCCCAAGGCAGCCAGGCCTCAGCTTTGCTGTCCTGGATGCCTTGCTCTCTGCTGGGATTTCCCCCTCCTCCTAGGGATTCCTTCTGAATGACAGCAGCCCCTGAGCTGGGCACTCTCAAGACCCCGGCCATCTACCCCTGTGCGCACAGACTCAGGCTGTGTTCTTGCCCAAGGTCACTCTCCTCCTCTTTGACAGAGCTGGGAACTATGATCGACTCCAAACCTCTGTACTTTCCAGCTCTGCCTTTGGGGCCACAGAGTTGGCATGAATCGGTGAGGTGGCCAAAGGAAGGGACCAGCTGGAGCAGAGGCCAAACCAGGGCACGCTCGTCCCACTGAAAGTCATTCACACTTATTTCCCAACCGTCCACACGAGATGGTCTGCTCGTGTCAGCCATCTTAAACAGCACCTGCACTCCCTCCCCACACTGGGCTATGCTGAGTACCCCCGAGGCGCTCCACAGTCCACAGAAGCAATGGGAGCCAGTTCCTGAACAATGTCATTGCTGTTAGCAGAGATTTGCAAGGCCAAAGGTCTCAGCTTGGACAAACCCTGGATGAGCACAGGTTGGGCATTCCATCCCCGAGCTGAACTTCACCTGTTCACTGCGAGAACACAGCAGTTCACATTTTTGGGAAAAAAAAAAAATACAACAAATTCAAGTGCGGTGGCAGTGCAGCTGTGGAAGTCGGACCGCATTTCCTGCTGAAATCCCACTGGAACTTTGCCTCCCACCCCAACTTCCTCTCCCCCTTCAAGGAGCAGGGTGACTTCCCAAGGAAGAATGACTCTGCAGAAACTCAACACTAAATGACAGCTCCTCAAATCATGGATGCCATCGCCCATTTGCAGTCCAGTCCTGAAGGACGACTCGCTGGAGGACAGGACCCCTGCACACACAGTACCTGACCTTCCCCTTGGGATGTGCTTACAGATGCACGTTTGCAGGCTCTGCCTTTTCCCCAAGCACAGGCCAACACGATCAAAGTGGGCGTCTCAACAGAAGAGGGTGCTGGGGGTCGCCACTCATCTCCATTTTGGGAAGTAGACTCTGGTACGCTCCTGAGTCACACCGATACAGTCCCCAGTAGAAATGAAGTGGCCCACTTCCCACCATCCTACCTCCCAATTCAGCTGCTGGCATGGACAAGGCAGGCAACGGGAGACCCAGAGGTTGGGGGTGGGTAGAATTCAACCTGCTGCTTCCACTCTGGTTTGTGCGGATGGCAGATTGTTTAAAAGTCACAGTGCCCCTTGCAGAACACAGTGGAACACACAGAAAATGGAAAACCATGTGCAAAAGCAGATCCTGCCTGAAAGTTCTAGGGAGTGTCTTCATGAGGATAAACGAAAGCAGGTCCTACCCACCAGCTTTGGTGTCCCCGAGGACCTTGTACCCTGCCGTTGAACGTTGGGCTGGCTCCCAGGACTGACAACACATGGGCATATGGCAAAGGTACCATGGGAGGCTCAATGCTCAGTGGGCACAGGTCCCCACTGACTGCAGCTAGGAGCTGTGGCGCTGAGGGACAGAGCTTCATGAGAAGCTTGACATCCGGTTTTTTTTCCCCCCAAATCTGATGTCTTCTAAGGTTTTGATGTGGGCAACTACTTCAACTAAGAAAATCCCACTGCCCCTAAAAACAAGTGTGAGGGCCAGGCTCAAGGCACACCTCCCACCTGGATGCCTAGTGAGGGTGACAGGTGACTGGCCAGGGGATCACTTGCTCGTCAGTACTGGGGAAGACGACACTCGGCAGTTTCACAAGATTTCATAATATAACTACTATCTTAATGGCAAATCTGGAAGCTCTCTTCCTAAGAGGTTCTCAGGAAGATTAGAGGAAATAAGGCAGTTGACAGATTAGGCGACATCTTAGGCAACAAGCCCACCCTCTTGGATCCTGAATTGGTATGTGAGAAAAATCTGTCAATTTGGAAGAATACTTATGCTTTGAGAGGTTTAGTTCCCTAGCCAAGAGATTTTTTTTTTTCTTAAGGGCAAGGAATCTGGACCTCCTCTCCTTGCTAGGCTTCAGTGAGATGCTACTCTTGCTGTTTGGGCCAGCATGGCTGTGCGCACCTCCCCTTGCCCCAAGAGGAGACAACTTGAAGGCTGAGCTCTGCCTGGAGCTGTCAGGAAAGCCCGAGGAGTGGAGATGCTCCATTTCAAGTGGGGTTTGGACCAGTGTTCAGTCCGAGGTCCAGTGTCAACATTATGTCATTTGTGTTGTTTTTTACAGCTCATGAAATTGAACCTTGTGTCCTCCATGCTGATTAGACACCCAAGGTTTCTTGCTCAGCACTGCTGGGTCCAACCCATGCCCAAGCACCTGTGAACAGGCAGTTTTTCCAACTCTGAGGTGCTGTTGGGTAGCCCTGGACTGCTGAGCTAGGTGGGGGACACTGCCGTCCTGCAGGGCCTCTGCTAAGACTCATCTTGGAGCCATCCCGCCTTCAGGGAGGTGAGCCAAACGTTCACGACTCAGCAAGAGGTCAGCTACCCACATACCAGGGCTCCCATGGGAGGTAGACGAGAACTTCTCATGAACCAGTGTGGCCCAAGACCAAGGCATCACAAACAAACGCCATGCTCCAAAGAGGTCCCTCTGCCCAGGCGCAGTGCCTTTTATCACAGCAGCACAACACAACGGTCTCCTTCCAAAAGCCCTGAAGTAGACCCAAACTGCCATCTTGGCTGCAGTGAGAGCAGGGCAGCCCCGCCAGCAGCTGCTGCAAGTTCAACCTGCAAGTCCCGGGCACATCCCCCAGGAAGCAGCCCGCGTCTGAGGTACAGCCGCGTCTGAGGTACAGCATCGCTGCTGAACGAAACAGCCCCACACCCTCCACATGCCATCGAAGGAACTGGGGAAGAGGAACCTGTTTGCAGCCCAGCAAGTCACAGTCCAGTCCCACCCGTGGACACCCCCAGGTCTTTTCTATGGTTCCCACAATGACAACATCTTAGACATAACTTCACTGCTTCTATAGCATCTCGGTTTTTACAAAACAAAGATGGTGTCATTTGGTTCTCCCAAGTCCAAGGATGTAAATGTCTCAGGCTAGGAGGAGACTGAGAACAGGGGACTGCTCAGGGGCAAGGTGGTGACCAAAGTGGCCACCAGCTGCCACAGGAAAGTGGGCAGAGGAGAGGTGCCGGCAGCTGCAATGAGGAGACCCAGTTCAGAGCAGCACCTGCCCTGTTAACAGGCCACTGTGGACTGATCGTCTGAGGGTGGGGCATGCAGACCCCTCTGAGGGAAGGGCAGGAGTCTGGCCCTCGTCGCAAGCTTGTTCATATTGGAGTGTTACTGGGGTAACGCGCCAGCGGGAGCTCGAGTTTGCTCAAGCTGCTCTAGATTTGTAACATCTGGAAGCTGAACAGAACACGAATCTTTACTGTGATGGAGTTATTTAAAAAACAACCCCAGAGCCTGAATTTACTTGAGGACTTCACATAACCCTCCCTTCAGGGTCTCAGAAGCACCGAGGCCACACCTCTGTTTCAGCACCAAGGACAGCTGGGCCACCAGAGCCAGACAGACCCCTTATTCCCCAACTCGCCAAAGGACAAAGCAGCAGTGCCCAGTCCCAGGTACTCACACAAAGAAGGGCATCAGCTGGGTGAGGGTTTCCTTCTTGGGGCTGGCAGCAAACTCGGGCACCATCTGAATGACTTTGTTCATGACGCTGCGCAGGTAACTCTGGAGCTGCTTTCTCCGTTCCTCTACGAACTTGGCGTCCTGAGAACAGACAGAAGGTGTGCTGGGTGGGCTCCCCTCGCTGTCCAGGAGGGACCCCGTGGAGCCCGCCGCATCAGTTCACCCAGCCGGCTCCAGGGCGTCTCACGCCACCGCTTTAGGACCAGGAAGTGCGACTGTTCACAGGTGGGGGACAGCTGGTCAGAACCTCTGGCAGTGTGCCCAGATGATGCCCAGCCAGCAGGGGTGGCTGCTCCCTCCTGGGCACAGCAATGTGCCAAGCTTGGTCTCAGGACAGAACCAAAAACATGACTTGGTTATCGTGTGCCGAGGCGTTCACACCCCCTGATGAAGACAAACCGAGGACCACATAGGTAAACACGTGATTACTAATCACCGCTCAGTGCTACGGAGAGGTGATTAATTCTGCTTTCAGTTTTTAAAAATATTGTCACTAAAAATCTTCATTTTTAATGACAATAAAAAAATCCTCCCGAAGCAACGATATCAACAATTTCCACCTTCTCTTGAAAAACCGGACCTCTGGTGGTACCCTGCTGGTGTTGTGCACATGTGCCCTGTCCCCTACAGGGCTCAGCCTAACGGGTGGCACTGAATAGCCCCTGAATATGGGGGTAGGAGCACTCAGAGGCTTGAGCTCCACACCCATCGCTCGGCCCCCTCTCCCCAGCACCGCCTGGCCTCCTTAGACACGTGCCCCGAGCCAGCAGAGGGCGGTGCTTGGAGCCGTGTGATACCATGCCATCCCCGCTTGAAGTCCTCCACAGTTTGGAGTGTGGGGCCTACAGATTCTCTAGCCAGCCCCACCACGCCCCACTGCACTGGTGGGCCCTGGCTCAACAAAGACACCCTGGGCTGTATGGGCGCCAGCCAAGGCTTCCTCTGAAGAAGCTCCTTCTGGGCTAAAGACCAAATGGGGTGTGTCAGCGACGAGCAGGGAGAGGGCAGTGGCACGGTTGTTTCAACCTCACAGCAACATGATGAGTGTAGTCTGATGAAGGACAGGGGAGGACAGGCAGCCTAGAGCAGATGGCACCTCACCCCCGGCCCTGTGGATTGCGGGGGCACCCCCTTCTGCTCCCCGTGCTGACGCAAAGCTGGCCTGCGGCAGGGGCTCAGTAGAACCTGTCTAACGAGGCCATGTGCTGAGACGGCACCTAGAAAACCTGCCCGGCACCCAGTCTCCGCCAGAGCATTCCTACGAAGCCCTGCCAAGGACCTGGACCTGGCATCTCTAATCCACGGTCAGCAGGTACCCAATGAAGACACAGGATGCCCAGTGCCATGTGAACTTCAGACAAACAACAAATGGAGTTCCAGCCGAAGTACTCCCCCAGAGAAAACCTGCCATGCCGCAGGGGACACCACACTGAGAAACTGTTGGTTGTTCATCTGAAATTCAAACCTCCCCAGGCACCCCCATCTCTGAGCACCAGGAAACTGTGCTGCCAGCAGGAGCCCCTTGGGGCCACCCAAAGTCACCCCTTGATGAGTGCATCTTTGAAGACCTTCCTCAGAGGATGGCAGCACTTGAATGGCCATGGGTCACTGTAGCATCACTGCCAGCAGGGTCCCTGGCCAGTGGCTGGAATCCCACATAACCTGGAGAGGCAACTGTATGTGGATGAGGAAGACACCTGGCCCAGAAAGACGAGGGCCTTCCCAAGCCAAAGCCACTGGGGCTCTGCATGCCAGGTTGTGTTCTCTGGTGTCTGTCACGGTTTGGATGGGAGGTGTCCCCCAAAAGCTCCTGTGAGACAGTGCAAGAGCGTCGCGTCATCATGAAGTAACGAGGTGTGTCCTAATCAGAGACCACAGGGGACAGGGTATGGCTAGAGGAAGTATGTCACTGGGAGTGTGCCTTTGGGGTTTATGTTTTGTCACTGGTGAGCAGAGCTCTGCTTCCTGCTTGCCATGGGCTGAGCCGCTTTCCTCTGCCATGATGTTCCTCCTCATCTCGGACTTAGAGCTGAGTCGGCCGACAATGAACTGAACCACTGAAACCAGGAGCCAGAACACACTTTTCCTCCTCTGTTGTCCTCGTCAGGTCTTTTGGTCACAGCGTGAGGAAGCTGACTGAACAGTCCTCGAGCTCCCACCCGTCATTAAGCAATTAGACACCCTTCCTCGGGAAGGTGGTTACTGCACCAGGTCAGAGCTGAACGGGGCTCAGAAGTCTCATTTTTAATCTGCACAAGAAACCCTCGAAGACAGCTTGAGAGGCTGCTGCAGGAAGACGAGAAAGAGCTAATCAGCCCTGGAGGAGCCTGGGAAGATTCCTTTTTTGGAAGGGGATGCTCAAAACACTCTAAGTAACAAGAAGATATCACAGATGGTCTCTCAGGCTTCCTGTGGGGCTAACTGAGCCACGGAGTCCTGGGAAAGAGACCACGGAGGCCTCCACCCTAGAGTCTAACGTGCCCTCAGCACTTGTCTAAAACCTCCTCTTGCCCTTCCCCCAGCCAACAGCGACTTGACCGAGATGGGGGTCATCCCCTGGAGGAACCCCAAATGCCCAGGCCTCACAGTGCCAGGTCCTGCTGTGAGCACAGCCACCGTGGCAGCCGTCTCCACTTGAAAACCAAGCGCCGTTTACCTGAGCTGTTCAAAGGGAAGCAACAGGATCTTGAAGTCTTCATCTGGGCCCTCTGTGCTGGACTGACCCAGGCTGACACCCGAGGCTCATGAGGGGGAGGGTCTTGCCCAGGAGCTCAAAGTGATAGCCTCCCTTAACCTGCACAACAAAGATCTGCAGCTTCCTCTACACCAGGCTTCCCCAGCCAGGATTTTGTTCAGATTCCACTTCCAGGTTGGCTTTAACAGAAGCCACCTACCACCTCTGTGCCAAGGCAGCAGGGCTGCATAACCTCCAGCCTCTGTCCTGGATGCTGTTTCCCTGTGGTCTCCACCTGAATCTCTGCGCATAACTGGGTAGAAGGTGACCTAAGGGTCATGGAAGACCTCAAAATGAGTCATAGAAGCCTATGGTTTCCTGTGGCTATGATTTTTTTTTAAATGAAAATCTTTAAAGACATCAAGAAGGAAGGGAGGGAGATGGGAATAGGAAAGACAGTAGGACGAATCAGACATAACTCTCCTCTGTTCATATAACAAGAGTTGTATCCTAACCAGTAGATTGACCCACTTACATGGATTAACTGGGTGGTAACTATAGAGGGTAGGGCATGGCTAGAGGAAGTGTGTCACTGGGAGTGTGCAAGGATGTATAACTCCACATCATGTACTAGAATGGGACCCTAACGAGAGTAAGTCATACTCCGCATGTTTAATATGCCAAAATACACTCTTCCATCATGTATAGCTAAAAAGAACAAATTTTAAAAAATACACATGGGATAGAATTAAAAAAAATTAAAGATGTCAAAACAGCAAATTCTAACGAAACCCTGTAGCGCTTCGTCTAATGTCTCAGCCCTTCTCCCCATCTGCTTCATCCTCTTTGCTAGAGTGTTTTAAAGTAGATCGCAGCCATCATGAGTGTGTATTTCTAAACACTTAAGAACATTTTCCTATTTAACCACAACACCATTATCACCTCTAATAAAATCACTGCTAATTGGTTGATGCCATCTAATAGCTAGTTGTATTTAGGAGCATTTGGTTTTCCAGAGCTGCAGAGCCTCCTGCCTTTCTGCTTGGAATCGATTCCCTCTTGGGGATGATGGAGTTCTGGCCTGGCAAGGACAGTCCCGCCATTTTCTCCACAGGCACTAAAGGGGGTTCACAGTGTGGCCCCCATCTATGTTTTGTATAAACTGAGCAATGTTTAAAAACAATAAACAGGAGACTTCTGTACAAAATCCAGATTCTTAGCTTCCCTATAAAAAGGATCAGTCCTGCTGGTAGGCAAGAGCTGACCAGCAAGGACACTCAGGAGCTGGAAGCACAGTGCCACCATCCTGCCCAGCTACTCCCATGGGTCCCACCCCTGGGTGGCCTCCACGAGCCTGTGAGTTTGCAACCCCTAATTTACCCCACATGACTGGCTGCGGCCTGGCAAAGCTGCTGCAGGGGCCATGATGTGTAGGATCCACATGACTGGGTCACATTCCCTGAGGCCGCGCGGTGCCTCCTACTGGCTCTGTGGGCCCTGGTGTGTGAAATGGGAAGAAGGGAGTGCCCTTCACAGGTGAGTGCCTGGGGGCCAGCATGGCCTGCTGGGCTCCTGTCCCTCAAGGCATAGGATGTGGAGGGGGGGGCTGGGGGACCAGGACCCACAGGTGCTGGGGAGGCTCTCCGGGAGGACTGCCCACATTGGCAGGCGGGATGGAGAGGGGTTTCACTCAGAAGATGCTGCTGCCCCAGCTTCCTGGAGGAGCAGCAGCCAGGTCCATCAGGTGGTCCACAAGGGCACCCTGGGGAGGGGCAGGCACGCCCAGAATGGGAAATGCAGAACAGAGGCCTTCGAGGAAACACTAGTCAAAGGACAAGTAGATGTGGGGGATGGAGAGGCAAGGCAGGCCGCCTGCTGCCGAGGTCCGGAGGAGTGGGACGGAGAAGGAAGGTGGCTTCTGTAGCCATCTGGGCAGGGAGGCAGAGGACCATGTCACAAGTAAACCCATCCTGCAGAGACCTGTCTGTCACATGGAGCACACAAGAGATCATTGTACTCACAGGGGCTTGGGGTCATCTGAGTTTTTTGGTTGTGCTCCTGGGGCAGCAGCCACAACACAGATTGGAAGGGATGGACGGATGCCAGCCAGGTCCCGCTGGGCCGTCTAATGAGTTCTTGCTGCCTGTGACCCCACTGCCATGGTGTGTGGTGGCCTGATAGCAGTAGGATTGTCAGTCCCCACTTTTTAAAAAAAGCATTCTAGACTATTTTAATGGGAACTTTTTCTCTCCAGAAAAGGTATTTTAAGCCTCAAGAAAATAAAGACACCATCAAATTAAGAATAACTGTTCTAATGAAATTCATCTGGAAAAATGAGACCCAGAATAGCTAAAGCAATCCTTAGCAGGATGAGTGAGGCAGGTGGCATCTCTATATCAGACCTTAA